CATTCCAAATCCGTAAAATCTTCTTTTTTACATCATTATCCTGGGTTCTTTTTTTCCATACAATGGAAGTGATTCTGGGGTTGCTGAGCTACAAAAATGACAAAAAACACCATAAAGCACCATGAAAGAAGCCAGAGGATTTGTGTGAAGAACAGACTGAAATGTAGGTCATTATACAACGAAAATCTTGTCCTCTGCCGTTGCCCTCAAATCTCCTTTGGGCTTGTGCATATTCATTGCCACATCCTGACCAATAGCATTGTGTTTAAAGGATGTTAAACCCGGCACACAATATATTAATGTGACATGTTTGAATATATGAACAAAAATTTAACTTGGGCAGAGAATGATTTTTCAATTTTGCACGTTTATCACACAAAGCTATCAAATGACTTCTGAAACTGAAATACTTTTACTTTATGGGAAAAAAAAGGCAGTGCGAACATTCAGCTCAACTTATCCTTTTGTATTTTATGGAAGAACAACAAAGATGATATGGCTTTGGAACAACAAGAGGTTGTTAAAAGATGTGTAGCAGCATATTTAATTTTTGACAGGAATGAAAACGAGGAATTTTTACAATTTTGGAAAATTACTGATCCTATATGCCTATATATGTGTATATATATCCCTCATTTTCATCCATGTAAAACTCAATATGGCGTCCACCCTGACTAAGGTCTATTAGAAAGAACACCTCCACCTGTGTTGTACATGACACCTTGCCCTGCAGGCATAATTATACAGTAACTGTCAACACCTACTGATTTCATTACAATGTTGAAATAATTTGAAAAACTGCACCCAAAAATCATAACAATGAAGTTTAAGGGATAGTTCACAAAAATTCTGTCATCATTTACTCACTCTCATTTTGTTTCAAACCTGCATGAATTTTATGTCTGTTAAACATAAAAGAAGATATTCTGAAGAATGCTGCTGACCAAAGAGTTGCTGGTAGCCACTGACTTTAAAAAAAAAATACTATGGCAGTCAACGGGGACTAGAAACTGTTCTGGTCTATGTTCAGTAGATGAAATTTATACAGGGTGAGTAAACGATGACGACATCGCAATTTTGGGTGAACTATCCCTTTAAGATGCAAGGCAAACCAACAAGGGGGGTGTAAAGATTTTAGAAAGCAAGAAAAAAATCACTCTAACAGAGCAGACACAGATGTTCGGAGGGTTACCCTCTGCTCTGGGTCCACTTCAGAGTCAGTGGATGGTGCTGAGGCGGATTTAGGCGGAGGAAGGGTGGAGGCGTGTGATGCGGGGGGCGGAGGTGCCATAGCTTTGGTTTTAGGTTGGGCAGACACGGTCGCAGTGATATCTCCATCTACACTATTACTATGTGAACACTCTGCAGGTGAAGCTGGGGCCGTCACTTTGTTTTTTGTCTGTGCGGTTGCTGATAATGTTGTCAGGCGGTTGGTTTGTGGGTGGTGTATGGGTGGAGGGGGAGCCCTGTTCTTAGGTTTAGACTGTGTAGTGAGAGGAGTGGAGGATGATGCAACCGTTTGTGCAGGTAAGACGGAGGTCTGCGTTGAGTGATGCTGCTAAAATAGGAGGTAAGTGCAACAACTGGGATCACATTGGACAAAAATGTAAAAACCCATAATGAAAATTACCACATAGCATTTCCCAGATGATTTATTTTAAATCCAGATGAAACAGCAATTACAACCCATTTACTTCCATAATGTGACATATTTGCGCAAAATCGGGCATTCAATGAGAAAAAAAAAAAAATCTATTTGGATTTGATAGGATCAAGAAAATTGAGTGTTCAGAGTCAGACCTGAATCTGAGTTTACAGTGGATTAAGGGGGTCTATTGTTCACAGTAAGACATATATTAAGCAAGTACATAGGTTCAAATCTTATTTCATGTTGACTTTAAATTATAATTTCATTTTGAAAAATAATTTCCAGAACGGTTCATGTAGCAGTTACCTGTTGTTGAGCAGTAAAGAAGGCTGTATTTTGCTGCTGCACAAAAAGTTGTGCGTGCTGGGGTGTGGTCTGGGGTGGAGAGGGAGTGGCTTGTTGCTGAGTGACAGGAACCTGTGATTGGGCAACAGGCTGGGAAGCCATGTTAACACCTGTGAACCAATAGAATAACAGAATAGAAACACAACATTAACAAATAAAAATAACAGACCCCTAAAATCCCCACTCTCGGACTTGCAAGACGAGACGAGGAACAAACAGAGCCTCACACAAAAAAAAAAATTCTTTGTGGTTGTGATTTTGTTGCTGTGTGCAGCATTTGCATTTTCAGCGATGATAAATTACATGATGAACATGAAACTTGTCATCCTAAGTGAAGACAAAGTACTACTATCCAGACCCAGATAATCTGATGCTAAAACATTACAGGAAGATAACAATACACAAGGATATTCGTTATCAGTAATACATGTGGGGCTTTAATTAGCATTGACTTCAGAAATAGGAAGTGAAACGACAGCTCGGTAGGATTGAGTGTGTCAGGGGCTCAATAGCTCAGGCTCATTAGTGAGGTTTTAAAAGCTCTCTGTAATGACAAACTGATTGAGCCAGTGGGAATACTAGAGCTGCGTGTGTCAGCCAAAAACACATGCCGGTCAATGCAACGAGTGACAGAAGAGAATAAAAGTGAGGAAAAAAAACGAGCATGCATGAAGGACTGAAGCCACCCATATGAGTTTGTTACAATGTGGACGCCTACATAGTGTTTGATTTTGGATGAAGGTGGATGAATGAACACTCACTGATTGGCTGGCTGGGTCCTGCAGGTGCACTGGCTCTTTTGCGTGGGGTGAGGGCTGGTTGGATGGGCAGGATGCCTGCGATTGGTTGAGCTTGGCCAGCCTTGGGACGCTGCCGTGGCGCTATGGATGTCTCAGTCGTAGGGATTGGATCAGAGAGCCTGAATGACCAGAAAAGTTCAAGTCGAATCAGAACTACCACTCTAAAACTATATGCATCCTAAAACTAAAGAAAAAAGTATGTAATAAAAGATCAGGGTTATAACTTGAGCTGGAGGAGGAGAAAGCACTCGACTACCAGTCAGGCTATTAGTTAAACTGGCAAACAGTCAGAATGATGCAACTGTCACGGTTTCATTAAATCAGATGCATGCGGATCAGTTGAGAATTGGACTTGTTACAGTGCTGGAGTTTTACTCACAGTCTTTGTGATAGAAAGGAGGACTTTGGGATGAGGGTATGGGGAGAGGAGGGGGTACTCAGGTCACAGAACAGCAGAACGCTCGCTTTCCCCATTTCACTAGGGCAAAGAATGAACCATCAACCTTTAAACATGAATGAAGTAAAAAAAGCTCTTCAAGTCTCAAAGTTCTTCAACTGCTCTGAATAAACAGATGCAACTAGAGTGTTGTGAAAGGTTGCCAGGGCATAGCTACGCAGTTTCTCAGGTATTCGGAGTAGATTTTATCATATTGTTATGCAGTTTCTAGGGTGTTCTGAATGGTTGCTAAAGTGTTACAAGATGATTGCTTACTGGTCTCAATTGGTCCCTAGATATGGCTACTAATTATGTCAGGAAAAGTTTGCATGTCATAGATCACCATGGAGCTAGAGTACACATGACTGCCAATTTCATGACCTTGCATCCCACGGCTCTCAAAAGGTTTACCTGTGCCTTAAATTTACCCAGCAATCTGGTGTCATCAGATTCAAAGAGGATTACCAGACTGTGCTTATGTAAGACCTCCAAGCGTTAATCCGTTCTCTCTGCTTTCTGCTGAGAATCATCATGCATGCATCTCTTTTACACACAAATTCTAACACTAAAAATATAAAAGAGAGAATAACATTTAAAAGAATATATCTGTAGTACCATAATGTGCCATTATATACAACGTGGTAGAATATGCTGTTTATATAATTGCTTTTATCCTGTGGCACTTTCCACAAATAACATACAAATGAGGACCTGAAATTCATAAATGTTGTCTTTTCTAATGTTTATTTTCCCACAAATGGCTGTTTTACAAAGTTTTTGAATTGTGAACGTTTAGGTGAAATGAACTTTAAGTGTAGGGACAGAAATCTCTCAGGATTCATTAAAAGTATCTTCATTCGTGTTTCAAAGATCAACAAAAGTGTGTTTGGAATGATATGAGAGTAAGAATGATGACAGAATTTTCAGCTTTAGATGAACTATCCCCGAGAGGTTGCAAGACAGTTGCTTACTGATCCATGCCAAAAGAGCCCAGCCCCAATTCTCTTTGACAGGGGTGTCCAATCCTGTTCCTGCAGGGCCACCATCCAGCAGAGTTTAGCTCCAGTCCTTGTTAAACACACTTGAACCAGCTCATCAAAGTCTTCACGATCTCTTGAAGCTTCCAGGCAGGTGTGTGGGAGCCAAACTCTGCAGGATGGGGGGCCTCCAGGAGCAGGATTGGACACCTCTGCTCTCTGGATGTTTCCACCATGTTTCCAAGAAAGCAGGTGGAAGTAGAGTGCCCTATCTGTCTTTTATCTCTATAAATAGGAAGGGGAAAGGCTTATCGCAAGGCTGCCAGCAGGTGAGATGCACAAGTTACTTTATTTCTGGAAGGCTCGAGGAGGTCAAGTACATTAACTGCTTTTTAAAGTCACTGAAAAAGCCAGAATGTTTAAAAGTCAAGAATCAACATTCACAACCCATTTTACTTCTGCAACGTGGCATGTTTCTTGGTGAAACAGGATATTCAAGATAAAAATGCAGGGTGGGACGTGATCCACTGGGAATTATGTGGATTGTGAAAAATTGGCATTCCATTCCAGAATTTGTCGTAAATTGTGAAGGACTATCCCCCTTCCTGAAAATCCACCAGCACCCACTGGTTGAAACATTTTCCAGCATTTGTGCCATCATGTTGCTTTGAAAGTTGAAAAAACAATTTCGAAACTAATTTTGCATTGCGGTTGTGTTTTAAGCACTACCAGACTCCCAGCAAGCATTGGGAGAGACATAGAAAGAGTCACATAGAGAGATAAACAGACTGTACCTCCTCCCTGGATAAAGCCTTTATTTGAAGACACAGACTGCAACCCAGAAATCAGATTTTCAGGACAGGGTCTCTCTGCGGTCTTAGCTGGTAATACAGACACATACATACACAGCATTACTGTAGTCTCTCTGTAGAGGGTAACTAAAAGAAATACTGTGCTAAAAAGAACTGGGAAAACTTGATTTCATATGAAAACATTGGCTTTACCATCCAATTTGGCAAAATCCCTGTTGAGCAGCTCTTCTGCTGTGAGTTTAGAGAAATTGTCATCGCCAAAGGGGTTCCAGGATGCTGTGGCTCCAGCCGAGGGTCCCGAAGCCTCCCCTGACTGATAAACACTCTGTTGTGATGAATATGGAGAACCAGAGGGAGTGGTGCTAGCTGACCTACAGCAGAGAGAGGAAAATAACAATGTTTCAAAACGCTCCACTTCAGTGTTCTCACACGACCTCAGCATGCCGCATGTGAGTGGTGTCAAGTTATTATCTTTGAAATATAAACTATTTGCATTTTCAATTTGATTTTTGCATACAACTCCAAGGCCATGACACACCAAGCCGACAGTCGGCTGCTGGCCAAAGTCAGGTGATCATTGAGTGTCTGTCGGGCCAGTTTTTGCAGTGTGTTCCAAAACATTGGCACTAGTTGGACCACCGTCTGAAGTGTTTTGGCCGATTGAGCATGCTGAATGGCCATTCGGCTGCCAGTAAGAGGAATCACTCTGATTGGCTGTTCAGCTTAGTGAACGAGAACAAAAATGAAAGTAATGAAAGCTAGCAAATGATAAGTTAAGGGGCCGTTTACACTACAACGTTTTCAGCCAAAAACTGGAAACTTTTCATGCGTTTTGCCTGTTCGTTTACACGACAACAGCGTTTGGGGGACTGAAAACGCATATTTTTGAAAACGGGTTTCAAAGTGCAAGTTTTTGAAAACGCCACCGTTATCGTTTCCGTGTAAACACCCAATACGGGAATCTTTGAAAACGGTGACGTCATGCTTGTGCGTAGTACGTGTTAGGTATGTAGACATGCACAGTACGTGTCGATTTTTAAGGCAAGCGCGAACAAACATACACAACAATGGCGGAGTACATGGTACTGTTGTTGCTGCTCAAGAGTTTGCTAACGCTTCTTCAGCAAAGTGTGGATTTACTTCACCAATAATACAACCAACAGCGGAGACGCATCATATACACACGGTAACAGGTACTGTTTACTAACAAGGTGACAGCGCCAACTACTGGCCTGGCATACGTAATACAGCGTTTTTGGCCGTTTTCGTGGATGTGTAAACGCAAATCGTTTTGAAAACGTTGTCGTGTATACGTGAGACTTTTTAAAAATGCAAGGGAAAAACTTTTCAGTTTTTGACTACATCGTTGTCGTGTAAACGTAGCCTAAGAGTGCAAACATAGATTCTTCTAATTTCACACCTTCAATTTATCTCACCATTCCAATACGTGAATATTTTCATAAAGACATGGCTGTCTGGAATGTAGAAAGTGAAGACCAACTGATCAAGCTTCATATACAAAATGGTAAGCAGGCACCCCTTTGTCTTAGTTTTAGCTTCCCATTTTGAATGCATAATATAAATTACTGCCACCTGCTGGTCTGGAGTTATTTTCTCTCAAGCAGGCGCAAGTTCTTTGATGTCAGATTGGTGTGGCAAGGCCTTAAACCTTTAGCAGTCCAAAAATAATTAATAAACCCTGCTGAAGAAATAAATAAACAAATAAACAGCTTAAAACAGCGTTAAAATAGATGTTTTTCTAGTCTTAGTTGTCTGAGATCTTGGCTTGTCTTAGAGAGGTTTTGGGCCCTTTTCAGGTAAACCAGCTGACTGCCAGGCTGGGATGCCAGCTAGACCTTTTCAGCAGGGAGGATCCAGATGTTAAAAACCGTGGCTTGAATTACTTCCAGTTGATACGTCATACTGGAAATTAAAGGTTCCAGTCGAGCACACTGCATGTCGCAGAATGTTATTCTGAACAAATTTAATGTCTACATACACCAAGAGCGAGAAAAATCCAGTTTTGCATGATATGACCATTTAAATGGCCCTAATGTTGCCATTTTGCTACTCAGTTATCACTACTAAAATTTAGTGCTTTACTTTTGTCTTTGCTCAATGCTGGACAATGTAATGGTTGAAACTGAACTATAACATGATTGATTAGGTATTTCCTTGATTTACTTAGACTTGTTAAGGCTGGCCTCTGCAGCAGCAGCTTGAAGCAGTTGAGTGGACTTGCTCACAGGAACTCCAAATATGGTGCTGTGTGTGACATCACTCAGAATTCGTCTGTGGCCTCCTTTAGGGGCGGTCTTGGGAGAAGAGGGTGGAGTCAAGGAGCCGACTTTATGCACCCCACGACTTCCGCCGACAGACTTTTACAGAAAGAAAGGTATAGAGACAGAGCAACATTAAACACTTTGAAAGCTGAAGGATATTAATGAGAGAATTTAATTTCTGAAATATCAAAAGAGACATTCTGTAGAGAAGGTGGTGGTCTTTGAAAGGTGAAGAAAGAGAGCTTCAGATATATAAAAAAAGACAAATCTAATATCTCAGTGACTTGTTGAAAAAAGCTGATCTGTGAAATTAGAAAATATCTAAAAGGATTGAAAGGTGAAATGTCTGTTATCAGATGGATCAGTCATTTCCATTCATTTCAAAAGAGAAATCTCATCTATTAAAATCTTTAATTCATTTGCCCTCATGTCATTCCAAATCCGTAAAATCTTCTTTTTTACATCATTATCCTGGGTTCTTTTTTTCCATACAATGGAAGTGATTCTGGGGTTGCTGAGCTACAAAAATGACAAAAAACACCATAAAGCACCATGAAAGAAGCCAGAGGATTTGTGTGAAGAACAGACTGAAATGTAGGTCATTATACAACGAAAATCTTGTCCTCTGCCGTTGCCCTCAAATCTCCTTTGGGCTTGTGCATATTCATTGCCACATCCTGACCAATAGCATTGTGTTTAAAGGATGTTAAACCCGGCACACAATATATTAATGTGACATGTTTGAATATATGAACAAAAATTTAACTTGGGCAGAGAATGATTTTTCAATTTTGCACGTTTATCACACAAAGCTATCAAATGACTTCTGAAACTGAAATACTTTTACTTTATGGGAAAAAAAAGGCAGTGCGAACATTCAGCTCAACTTATCCTTTTGTATTTTATGGAAGAACAACAAAGATGATATGGCTTTGGAACAACAAGAGGTTGTTAAAAGATGTGTAGCAGCATATTTAATTTTTGACAGGAATGAAAACGAGGAATTTTTACAATTTTGGAAAATTACTGATCCTATATGCCTATATATGTGTATATATATCCCTCATTTTCATCCATGTAAAACTCAATATGGCGTCCACCCTGACTAAGGTCTATTAGAAAGAACACCTCCACCTGTGTTGTACATGACACCTTGCCCTGCAGGCATAATTATACAGTAACTGTCAACACCTACTGATTTCATTACAATGTTGAAATAATTTGAAAAACTGCACCCAAAAATCATAACAATGAAGTTTAAGGGATAGTTCACAAAAATTCTGTCATCATTTACTCACTCTCATTTTGTTTCAAACCTGCATGAATTTTATGTCTGTTAAACATAAAAGAAGATATTCTGAAGAATGCTGCTGACCAAAGAGTTGCTGGTAGCCACTGACTTTAAAAAAAAAATACTATGGCAGTCAACGGGGACTAGAAACTGTTCTGGTCTATGTTCAGTAGATGAAATTTATACAGGGTGAGTAAACGATGACGACATCGCAATTTTGGGTGAACTATCCCTTTAAGATGCAAGGCAAACCAACAAGGGGGGTGTAAAGATTTTAGAAAGCAAGAAAAAAATCACTCTAACAGAGCAGACACAGATGTTCGGAGGGTTACCCTCTGCTCTGGGTCCACTTCAGAGTCAGTGGATGGTGCTGAGGCGGATTTAGGCGGAGGAAGGGTGGAGGCGTGTGATGCGGGGGGCGGAGGTGCCATAGCTTTGGTTTTAGGTTGGGCAGACACGGTCGCAGTGATATCTCCATCTACACTATTACTATGTGAACACTCTGCAGGTGAAGCTGGGGCCGTCACTTTGTTTTTTGTCTGTGCGGTTGCTGATAATGTTGTCAGGCGGTTGGTTTGTGGGTGGTGTATGGGTGGAGGGGGAGCCCTGTTCTTAGGTTTAGACTGTGTAGTGAGAGGAGTGGAGGATGATGCAACCGTTTGTGCAGGTAAGACGGAGGTCTGCGTTGAGTGATGCTGCTAAAATAGGAGGTAAGTGCAACAACTGGGATCACATTGGACAAAAATGTAAAAACCCATAATGAAAATTACCACATAGCATTTCCCAGATGATTTATTTTAAATCCAGATGAAACAGCAATTACAACCCATTTACTTCCATAATGTGACATATTTGCGCAAAATCGGGCATTCAATGAGAAAAAAAAAAAAATCTATTTGGATTTGATAGGATCAAGAAAATTGAGTGTTCAGAGTCAGACCTGAATCTGAGTTTACAGTGGATTAAGGGGGTCTATTGTTCACAGTAAGACATATATTAAGCAAGTACATAGGTTCAAATCTTATTTCATGTTGACTTTAAATTATAATTTCATTTTGAAAAATAATTTCCAGAACGGTTCATGTAGCAGTTACCTGTTGTTGAGCAGTAAAGAAGGCTGTATTTTGCTGCTGCACAAAAAGTTGTGCGTGCTGGGGTGTGGTCTGGGGTGGAGAGGGAGTGGCTTGTTGCTGAGTGACAGGAACCTGTGATTGGGCAACAGGCTGGGAAGCCATGTTAACACCTGTGAACCAATAGAATAACAGAATAGAAACACAACATTAACAAATAAAAATAACAGACCCCTAAAATCCCCACTCTCGGACTTGCAAGACGAGACGAGGAACAAACAGAGCCTCACACAAAAAAAAAAATTCTTTGTGGTTGTGATTTTGTTGCTGTGTGCAGCATTTGCATTTTCAGCGATGATAAATTACATGATGAACATGAAACTTGTCATCCTAAGTGAAGACAAAGTACTACTATCCAGACCCAGATAATCTGATGCTAAAACATTACAGGAAGATAACAATACACAAGGATATTCGTTATCAGTAATACATGTGGGGCTTTAATTAGCATTGACTTCAGAAATAGGAAGTGAAACGACAGCTCGGTAGGATTGAGTGTGTCAGGGGCTCAATAGCTCAGGCTCATTAGTGAGGTTTTAAAAGCTCTCTGTAATGACAAACTGATTGAGCCAGTGGGAATACTAGAGCTGCGTGTGTCAGCCAAAAACACATGCCGGTCAATGCAACGAGTGACAGAAGAGAATAAAAGTGAGGAAAAAAAACGAGCATGCATGAAGGACTGAAGCCACCCATATGAGTTTGTTACAATGTGGACGCCTACATAGTGTTTGATTTTGGATGAAGGTGGATGAATGAACACTCACTGATTGGCTGGCTGGGTCCTGCAGGTGCACTGGCTCTTTTGCGTGGGGTGAGGGCTGGTTGGATGGGCAGGATGCCTGCGATTGGTTGAGCTTGGCCAGCCTTGGGACGCTGCCGTGGCGCTATGGATGTCTCAGTCGTAGGGATTGGATCAGAGAGCCTGAATGACCAGAAAAGTTCAAGTCGAATCAGAACTACCACTCTAAAACTATATGCATCCTAAAACTAAAGAAAAAAGTATGTAATAAAATGCAAAGTCACTTCAAACCTCTGAGAACACACAGATAAGTGACAGCCTCACCTGGCTTTGTTTTGACTCTTCTTAGCCATGGCTTCACTGGCTCTGATTGGCTCTGGGAGTTTTGCTGGAATGGGTGAATTCTAGTGGAATGAGAGGGATATTGTTGCATTTAGTATTTGGTTGTCTTTAGTCAACATGAAACATTATCAACTCATTCCAGTGAAACAGGAAATTCAACACACACACACAAAATCATTATAGTTAATTGAAATAAAGCTGAAATAAAATTAAATATAAACATTTGATAAAAAACGTACACTTAAAAAACTTAAATATAAAGTAGAAATGTTATCTTGGCAACTAACTAACATCGGATGAAATATTCACTTTTTTAGTTTGTTTTGCATTTAGTTAGGTTTCTGGCGTGTCTGCCAGCACAAAAAAGCTGAAAAGAAAACATGCAGCCAGTTTGTTATTGGCTGAGTCTGAAACTGTGTCATCCAGCGAGCTGTTTCAACCTGCAGCCAGTTTCTACATAGAGAGCTAGCTATTTGAATAAGACCACCTCTGAGCCATACACGGATATATTCACGGGTCTTGTGTCAACGGCCCACGGGAGAGAGGGGCGGGGTGAGCAGTAGCTCATTATCATTTAAAGAGACATGCACCGAAACGAGTCGCTGTGAACACAGCTGTTTTTGACATGGTAAAAAGTGTTATTTTACATGATCATTGAGGAATTATAACCAAAGTATGGTGCAGACATTTCATGAAGACAATAAAGAATCATACCGACTTGTGGAAAATGGGCATCCTATGTCACCTTTAAAATTATTAAAACCATTTTGGTAACGCTTTACAATAAGGTTCATTAGTTAACTACTTTAGTTAATGTTAATTATACCATTACTAATGCATTATTAAAATAAAAAGTTGTATTTGTTAACGTTAGTTAATGCACTGTGAATTAACATGAACTAACAACGAATGACTGTATTTTCATTAACAAAGATTAATAAATGCTGTAATAAATGTACTGTTCATGGTTCGTTCATGTTAGTTAATACATTAACTAATGGAACCTTATTGTAAAGTGTTACCATAGAAACTAATAAAAATGACAAAAGTGCATAACAAAATTAATAAAACTTGAACTAAAATAAATAAAAATAAAAGTGAATTCAAAATATTAACACACTCCAATTAATTGTGCATGAAGACCAGTAACATGAAGAAAGTATTTCAGTGTCATTTTTTTTATTTCAGATTGACTTCAAAGTTATAAGTTAATTAAATATGTTATTTAATTAATTTAATTGTATTGTTATTTAAGAGAGTTACGCATAGAGGTGTTTTTTTTTTGCCAGTGTCACATCCTATGAAATCATCCTTCTTAAGTACATAATTTAATTTCCATGAATGTGTAAAAATATGTGAAGATGACATCCTCAACAACAAAAGATGTGCATGTTGTTGGCACAAACACAAATGTGTAATGAAAGCACATGATTAGCTTTGATATTTATTTGTAGACGCAGTCTGCAGTCTGAGCCAAACATCCCTATGTCAGGAAAAACTGCAAAATAACATTGAAATTGTATTGTCATTCCTGTATTGAACTCTTAACAGCATTTGCGGGTGTCGATGTTAATGGGAGAGAGGGGCGGGGTGAGCAGTAGCTCATTATCATTTAAAGAGACATGCACCGAAACGAGTCGCTGTGAACACAGCTGTTTTTGACATGGTAAAAAGTGTTATTTTACATGATCATTGAGGAATTATAACCAAAGTATGGTGCAGACATTTCATGAAGACAATAAAGAATCATACCGACTTGTGGAAAATGGGCATCCTATGTCACCTTTAAAATTATTAAAACCATTTTGGTAACGCTTTACAATAAGGTTCATTAGTTAACTACTTTAGTTAATGTTAATTATACCATTACTAATGCATTATTAAAATAAAAAGTTGTATTTGTTAACGTTAGTTAATGCACTGTGAATTAACATGAACTAACAACGAATGACTGTATTTTCATTAACAAAGATTAATAAATGCTGTAATAAATGTACTGTTCATGGTTCGTTCATGTTAGTTAATACATTAACTAATGGAACCTTATTGTAAAGTGTTACCATAGAAACTAATAAAAATGACAAAAGTGCATAACAAAATTAATAAAACTTGAACTAAAATAAATAAAAATAAAAGTGAATTCAAAATATTAACACACTCCAATTAATTGTGCATGAAGACCAGTAACATGAAGAAAGTATTTCAGTGTCATTTTTTTTATTTCAGATTGACTTCAAAGTTATAAGTTAATTAAATATGTTATTTAATTAATTTAATTGTATTGTTATTTAAGAGAGTTACGCATAGAGGTGTTTTTTTTTTGCCAGTGTCACATCCTATGAAATCATCCTTCTTAAGTACATAATTTAATTTCCATGAATGTGTAAAAATATGTGAAGATGACATCCTCAACAACAAAAGATGTGCATGTTGTTGGCACAAACACAAATGTGTAATGAAAGCACATGATTAGCTTTGATATTTATTTGTAGACGCAGTCTGCAGTCTGAGCCAAACATCCCTATGTCAGGAAAAACTGCAAAATAACATTGAAATTGTATTGTCATTCCTGTATTGAACTCTTAACAGCATTTGCGGGTGTCGATGTTAATATGTCTTTGATCATGACTCAATGCTTCCATTATGCTATCAATACTGCTCAGAGTGGGAGGGGCCACTGGATGTGTGCCAGCTGGCAGCCACGAGCCACATTCCACTTCCTGTGCAAGCACTTACTATATCTAGGGATAGGCATGAATTAAACATAGATTAAGAAGTATGTGCTGAAATAAAGAACAAAAACCCTATAGAGTGTGAAAAACGGGTGAGAAGTTCGGGGCAAATGCACATGGTAGCTTGTGTAGTTATAGCACAGCAAACAAGGAGAGAGATCTTTACAGTATGAATGAGCAGGTCTTACGTGGATATTCTGTACTGGGCATTCTTTCCATGCCAGTTTAAAGGCGAAATATGACACCTGGCAGATATCTGGCCTTATGTCAGGGTCTGGCTCAAGCATGTAACCTGAGATGGGAGAAATTAAACAAATCAAAACATAAAAAAAAAAAAAAAAAAAAAGTGTACAGGTTTTGCTAAATCTTGAAAAAAAATTTTGTCCCACAGAATTAAAATGAATTTTATTAAAATAAAAAAGTTTTTTTTTCTTTTTGTTATATGAAGGTAATATTTTATATATATATATATATATATATATGCATTATGGTGTGCATTATTTTCTAATAATTCAACGGCCCATTGTCAATTATTCCTTACTCATAATAAACTATAAATGTAATAAACTACCATTCAATAGGTTTAATATTTGTCTATTGTCTATTAATATTTCACTATTTGTAATAGTCTCTTATGCTCGCCAAGGTTGCATTTACTTGATATAAACAGTACAATAAATACAGTATAGACAGGAATATTGTGAAATATTATTACAATTTAAAATTGCTTTCTCTTTTTTAATATATTTTAAATAATTTACAAATAAATTTTTTGCAGCCATTACTCAAGTCACATGATCCTTCACAAATCATTTTAATATGCTGATTTGGTGGTCAGTAAACATTTTTATCATTATCCATGTTGAGAACAGTTAAGCTGCATAATATTTTTGTGGAAACTGCTGCATTTTTTTTTTTTCAGGATAAATGTTGCTCAAAACAACAGCATTTATTTGAAATAGAAATCTTTTGTAACATTATAAATGTCTTTACTGTCACTATTGATTAATTTAATGCTTTAGCTTTAATCCTTGAGGAACAATACAAAAAATAATAATTTTACTGATCCCAAACCTTTGAACAGTAGAGTGCATAATATTTTTTTTTTCATACAAAACATTTAAATCTACAATAATCTAAACAAAGACTGAAAAACAAACTACTTTAATATTTAATGTGTGAAAAATTGCATTTTTCAAAAAATGATGACTGTCCTTAGTTGTCCCACCGTCAGTTTTGTCCCTAATAATACTTTTATTTTTATTAATACATACATTTACACGTGAACAGAATATTTTTTGACATTATTTCCAATCAAGCTGTAATTTTTTACCAAATTATGTAAGTGAAAATACAGTAACACTTTAGATTAAGCACCACTATTAACTAGTTGATTATTAGCATGCATATTACTAGCATATTGGCTGTTTATTAGTACTTATAAAGCAGATATTACTGCCTTATTCTGCATGACAGACAAGCAATCATCAGCTGGACTTACGGATGAGACAGTGCATGTCGTGTGAGTAGCGGGAGTTGTCTGGGATGGTGAAGCTCCCGTCACAGATGGCCACCTGACTCTCTCCAAACGGCAAAGTGAAGTAACACAACTTATACAACAAGCAGCCCAAAGCCTGAGGACACAAATGAGCAAGAGTCATTAAACATCCTTTGTGATGTTTCAAAATGCTATGCATATAATAATCAACTACAGAGAAAAAGCTTTGGCTGCTGCTGAATTTTTCTCTAGCAGTCTTCACCTCTCTGACTCACCCATATATCTGCTTTAGTAGTGATAACTTTGCCCCCATATAGATTCACCATTTCTGGGGCCCGGTATGAAAGAGTAGTGTACCTTAACACACACAGAGTATTAGATTCAATTGATATGAAAACGTAACACTGTGGCCCTAACACACACACACACACACACACACACGCACACACGCACACACACACACACACACACACACACAGAGTATAAGATTCAGTTGATACGAACACGTAAAACTGTGGTGTGTAAACCAATAAACCAGCACCTCCAGGGTTCGTACACATTTTTACCAATAAATTTCCATGACTTTTACAATATCCATGACCTAATGTTCCATTATTATTACAAGTATACATGTAAAATAAGAATAAAAATCTATGTTCAAATTTATCATAGCATATGTTAACTAAAATTAATGACTATTAATGCTACTTATTTGCTTTCTATTTGTTTTAATAATAAGTACAATCTGCGACTGTGCCAGATGCAGAGAACATATCCAATAAACCAGTGCTCACTTCTTGATTTCTTCTTCTACAGCCGCCACACCTTCTGTTTGTGGATTCTGGGAGCGGTTAATGGCACTGCCAAAGTCACACAACACATAATGTCCTCTGTCATGCAGTAAGATGTTCTCCACCTAAAAAAAACACAAAGAGAGCACACACATTTGTGCTACAGTCGGATATGCCCTAGTTTTTGTAAAGCTGAACTGAAATAGTTTTCTAACATCACAAATGAACTCTAAGATGGCTAAAATTATAAAAGGGTACAAACATAATGAGCAAAAAATCAGATATTGAAGGAATAGTTCACTCAATACATTTAAAAATATTAGAATTTGGGGCATCGAGACATGTCACACCAGGTTGGACTCAACGGCAACATTTTTTTGAAGCTTGACTGGTCTCTATGGAGGCCCGTTTCCACCACTGAATACAAAAAAACAAGTAATTGGACATTTTTATCTCACAGTTCAGACTTTTTTTCTAAGAATTGCATGATATAAAGTTGCAATTGCACGTTATAAAGTCAGAATTGCGAGATTTTTTTCTCGCAATTCCGAGTTTATACCTTGCAATTCTGACTTCTCTTCTCAGAATTGTGAGATATACTCATAATTTAGAGTCAAAGTCCAATTCTGAGGAAAAATTCTGACTTTATTGCTCAGAATTGTGAGTTTCTATCACGCAATTCTGACATTATAACTTGCAACTGCGAGTTTATATCACGTAATTCAGAGAAAAAAAAGTCAGAATTGCGAGAAAAAAAGTCAAATGTAAGATAAAAAGTTGCAATTACCTTTTTTATTTCTATTCAGTGGCAGAAATTGGCCTCCATAGGTTTCTCTATGCTTTAGTTGAATGGAAAAGAACAGCCTAAAAATTATTAAAAATTTCACCTCCAGGGTTCGTACACATTTTTACCAATAAATTTCCATGACTTTTACAATATCCATGACCTAATGTTCCATTATTATTACAAGTATACATGTAAAATAAGAATAAAAATCTATGTTCAAATTTATCATAGCATATGTTAACTAAAATTAATGACTATTAATGCTACTTATTTGCTTTCTATTTGTTTTAATAATAAGTACAATCTGCGACTGTGCCAGATGCAGAGAACATATCATCACATCACTGAATATTATAATTTATTTAACCAATATTATCAACTAAACTCAGGACCTGAATTTCATTTAGGGAACCGTTTAGGTCTAACAGTAGCATTCAGGTACAGAAATACACAGAAATTAAATAAACTGTAAATTAAAAACAGATTAATCCTTAAAATTAAAGTTACAAAAGTTATTAAGTCAAAAGCAGTGACTGATCTTCTTTTTTTTTTTTTTGTCTTTTGTTGTTTGATTAACATTAATGACAGACGGCACCGCTTTATTAGGCTGCTATCCCTTTAAGACCGACTGCATGGATCCAATATTCTGATACACACAAGTTTTCTTTCTCAAGCTTACATTCACTTAAGACAAAACTGACTGTGTTTATGAGGATACCCGCCAGGATGGGCATTTTGACATAATTTTGTGTGTATTTGGCCGCTTAAGCGCAATAAGCTGCAAACAATAATTCAATTTGGTACTCGTGAGGTGATTGCGAGGGGGCTTTATGTCCAAACACTTTGGATGTGAGCGCACAGAAAACCGTTGTGGAGCGCGCCACTACCGAATGGTTTAAAAGGACTTAAAAAGATGTGCAAATGATACAGTTTTGTGATGATGCAACAGTGTGAAGCCGTTTTGAGAGGGTCAAAGAGAGAAGACGAGGTACCGCTGAATCACTCTTATGACTGATTCCATCTGATATTCTGTGTGGATTTATTTACATCTAACCTACATGCTATATTAAATAAATGTTTGCGGGAATTTCCAGCATTATAAATGCGAAACCTGTGGGAATGAGTAAAACTAGGCGATATATGCGCGATCCCACACCGATCTGATTAAAAATGTATTCTATTGCACAGATATTTGTGAAATAATTTTCCTGACTTTTCCAAAACTTTCTGGTTTCATTGATTTTTCCAAAACCTTTCCAGGCCTGGAAATTGCTGTTTTGAAATTCCATGACTTTTTCAGGTTTTTCATGACCGTACGAACCCTGCACCTAGTTATACGGGTTTGGGACAACATGGAGGTGACTAAATGACAGATTATTTTATTTCTTAGAATAATAAAGGTGTAGAGTTCATACCTTGAGGTCCCGGTGGATGATGGGGGTTTTGCACTGATGTAGTCGAGCGACAGCTTCACATGTGTCACAGAAGATCTGCAGCACCTCCGTCTCACTGAATCCAGTCTGCAAGCGCTGGTTCATCAGGTTCACAACCTGCCCACCTGGATTATTACACACAAACACTGCATGAAAATACTGCATAGTAGGTCAAGACTAGTGCTGTGTTCGATACATCGATACGACGATGTATCGTCACAGAGATTTGACGATACGAGTATCGATACAGCTGGCCCTGTATCGATATTGTAGCACGTGTGCAGCAGTGGACCGTGCTTAATTTGAATAAGACAGCACCATTTAAAATGGAGTAGAAAAGTGCGAGGTTTCTCAAAAATACCTGGTGGGGAGTGCCCAATGTAAACATGAAACATATGCCATTACCTATATTGTACTGTGGTACAGTTATGGAGGCCCTTCATAATGCAGAGGTCAACTGCCTGCTCTGCCAATAGTTAGAAATGGCCCTATAGTATGAAGTGTTTAATAAACAGCTGTTTTACTAAATTCTTCTGAGGTGAAATTCAGTGCAGTCCCGTATCGTGATGTGTATCGTATCGTGGCCTCTGTATCGTGATACGTATCGTATCGTGACTTTGCTGGTGATACACAGCCCTAGTCAAGACCACCAAAACTTGTGGGAAAAGCCTCTGAATCTCAAATCGCATACCATCTTGAGAGAGGGGCACATACTGACCTCGACAGAAGTCCATCAATATGAGAACTTCCCAAACATCTCCTGATCCTACTGCTGTGATGCTGGAGTCCAGGAAACCAACAATGTTTTTGTTCCCCACAAGGTCCCTCTGTTCAAGAAAACCAACACATTTAGATAGGAAAAAACAATCTGTAAAAACTTTAGATGGCATCAGCAAGAACAAATATATATATATCTTTGAATGGTAGTATTATATATGTTCATGATATTTTTTCTTGCTATATATTTATATATATATATTTTTTTTATATATATATAAAATGCATGTTTATTTAGCAAGGACATTAAATTGGTGAAAAGTGACAGTAAAGATATTTATAATGTTCTTCTTTTGAACTTTCTATCATCATTTCCACAAAAAATATTGGGCAGCACAACTGTTTTCAACATTTCAAGAAGAAGAAATGTTTCTTGAGCAGCAAATCAGCATATTAGACTGATTTCTGAAGGATCATGTGACACTGAAGACTGGAGTAATGATGCAGAAAATTCAGCTTTGATCACAGGATTAAAACTATAAAGAAAATTATAAAAAATATAAAGAGTTATTTTACATTGTGATACTATTCACAAATGACTGAAAGTGGCTGTCTGGAATTGTTAATACTAAGTAACTATTGCTTTCTCATTTAATAACTTAAGATTCAATGGAAAGACTCCCAACTCACCCTTTGTGTATACCAGCAATTTATTGTACAAATAAGTACTTTGCATTGATTTTAAATGCCTGAAATGTGAAAGCTCACTTAGTTTTCTGACCATTTGCTAAAAGCTCAGACAATGGGTCTTTGAGTCGACTAAGTCAATGCTAGTATAATGCTAGTATAAGTCAATGATAGATTAGCTGTTCAACGTCCTTTCAAATCGACTCATTCATTCACAAATTTGAAATGCCCCCTGTTAGTCGTCTATTTAGGAGCGCACTGTGAGCAGCTGCTCATTTAGAAACAGCAAGACACTCTGTGATGCTGAAACAGTGCTGACATTTTCCTCTTGTCCATTTAGTAGGGCTCACAGCGAAGTGCGGTGGATTTCCATTCTGAAGTCAGTCCCAGAGGACACGACTGACCTTTACCGGCACTGTACTGTTCTCAGCACTGTATTTACAGCACCACATGCAAACTGAGGAACAGGAGACCTCAAATCCTTTCAAGACTGCGTGGCTCAGCTTTGAAGGTCTAATCACAGTGGTATTAAGAGGAGCTAAATCAAATAAAGGACTATAGAGAACATCCATTTGGATGCTTAAAAGAATAGTCACTGTAGTGACCGTATCTGAAGCCATGCAATATCTTTGTGTCAGCAACACACTGAAATTCAAGCCATTATGTATGGGTTAACAATGTACAGCCAGTTGGTTTTTCATTGAAAAATAAACTCTGAAGGGATTAATGGAAATCCTCCGGTTTCATTTTCAATAAAATCGATAACAGAGACGCAAGGTGGCACCAGGTCATTTGTATGAAAAAAAAAAGGTTATAATCATCCTCTATGCTGTCGCTCAATAATCAAACATCGTGGACAGCAATGACAACAAACTTCTATGGTTCGTGTGCATTTTGTGACCAAATGTCATTGCTCTTTAAACTGCAAGATAAACTTGATAAATAGGCCTTTTAACGAGTGCATTGGTGAAACATGTATGGAGGACAAGCCAAAACAAGCATGAAACATGATCATAACCCAAAATCTTGTTCAAAAAGATGTTTAACTAGTCATTAAAGCTGATCAGCAGACTAGACTGACAGTATTTAGATATTTATAATAAGTAAATGCTTGTTTTTGTATTTGGAAAACCACTGTGTATGTGTACAGTATATGTTTTTTTTGGTCACTGGTAGGCATCATTTTAATATTTTTTTGTCAAATTCCACCAGTAAGGAGCAGTATAACCAAAATATCAGTATATTAAAATTCACAATTTTAGATAACTATTCTTTGCCAAATTTGGAAATTGTAGTAATTTTCTCCTCTTTTCTCAAAGAGCCTGGGCCATGATAACTGATGCTTGTGGCGATATCTAGTAATTAACATTTATTCATTTGGAAGACGTTTTTAGCCACTTATAGTGCACTCAAGGTATATTTTATCAGTATTCGCTGAAAATCCAAGCCAGCATTTTTAGTGTCATGCTCTAACAGTTTGGCTGCAGGAAGAAAAAAACAAACAAAAAACAAACACACATACGGCAGGTGAAGAACCGTGCATAAGGGAATGTCTCACCATAATCTGAATTTCCCTCTTGCATACTTGAAGGTCATGTTCATTGTTGACATACATTCTCTTCAGTGCACAACGGACGCCCTGATGAGTCCTCACCAGAAATACGATAGCAAAACCACCTGTGGAAAGAAAACCAACAGCCTGAAAATCTTTAAAAACAGTCGAGCTACTGAGAGCTCACATGCAGAGAAAGGCAAATCGATCTCATATGTGACCCTGGACCACAAAACCAGTCTAAAGTGTCAATTTTTTGAAGTTTTGATATATTTACGGTAGGAAATTTACAAAATGTCTTCATGGAACATGATCTTTACTTAATATCCTAATGATTTTTGGCATAAAAGAAAAATCTATAATTTTGACCCATACAATGTATTTTTGGCTATTGCTACAAATATACCCCAGCGACTTAAGACTGCTTTTGTGCTCCAGGGTCACATTTGTGATTCAACTAATGTAACACAGTACCACAAGGAACACAGACAACCTTTGTCCAGGGAAATAAGGAGGTACTGGACACTGGTTCCCTTGTGCTATCAGACCAACCGTCAGTGGACAGTGGCACACAGTATATAATCATGTAATTGATAGGTTAAACTCATTTTAGTAATGTTTCGTCTAACAGTAAGAGTAAGTACAAGAACTCACAAAAAAACCCTTTGACTGTGGAAATGCAACTCCCTGACAAAATGAAAATGCATTTGTGCCTAATGATGCCTAATGATTACAATAACTAATGCTCATACTTGGGGTTAGTAATTTAAACAAATCTCTAACTCCCAGTATTAAAGTTCAACAAATAATCATCTCAGACTATTTGTGCTAGGAATGATACCTCAAATCCAGGAATCTCACTTTCCAGTAGGGCTGGGCGATACAGCTAAAAAATGTATCAACGATATATAGGGATGTAACGATTCACTCAACTCACGATTCGATTCGATTCACGATTTTTTTTTTTACAAAATGAGATTTAAGACAAATTATAAATTAAATGTGTCCTTTTATTATTGCTTATACAAAATACTGTACATTTCTTTGGTGAAATTGAAATATAACACTATAATAATATACTAATATAGCACTTGCATATTATTGCTCTTTTGTTGGTTTTGATTGCTTCTGTTGTCCTCATTTGTTAGTTGCCTTGGATAAAAGCGTTTGCTAAATAACAAAATTTTAATTTAATGTAAATAACAAAACTAAATTGAAAATTTAAAACAAGCCCCAAATCAAATAAATAAGTAACACAAATAAAATAAATCTCTTCATATAAACAAACTAAGGCTTTGTCTGTGCTCTTTCCATTTAAAATTAGAGGCAACCACTGCATTTTAATCATGATCCAAACAAAGATGCAGCATACATGGAACACGAGCAGTTTTTAAACTAAATTAGATTGTATAATTTCGAAATTTGAAGCAAAAACAGAATAGTTTGACTTCAGTTTTGTGAAACTATACATAAAAATATCTGCATGAAAGAGCGGACGAGCTGAATAAGATGCAGATTCACTCTCTGCCAGCAGGTGGCGCTTATAGCGTTTCCTTGGTTTCCGCTGTAAACAAAGCAGCGCTGCACTTATGAACTTTAATATGCAGGGCTCCAGACTGCGACCATTTTTTCTGCCTGTGCGATTAAATTTTGTGTGTGGTCGCACTGGTGCGACCACCGCGTTGGTCAACTCATAAGCGCTTAAATTTCTGTTGCATATGAGAAACATCAAAGGGCAAACGAAACTGAAAGCATAACGAAACCGCGCTTAGAGAGTATACCAAGCACGTTAAGTATACGTATACGTTAGCATGAGCGCGAAGGTGCACGCAGCAAAAATGACGCACAAATTGAGGAAATGATGGATTTATTAGTCGGTATAGGCTATAATACAGCATGTGGTGTGAGCCATGCCTCATCATATTTGTTTTTGTTAATAAACATTTTGTAAGCTAGTTTGTCATTGTATCTTACTGATTTATTGTTGTTGTGCTTTTTAATTAAGAATAACAATGAATCCATCTTTTGTG